AGCCGATAGAGACAAGGGCAAACGAGAGGAAAACAAAGCAGAGCACGCGTAGATACAATGCCGGCAGTCAAAACCATATCAGCTGAGTCAGACACGTAGACTGTACTGATTGATTGAATTGTATGAAAGAGCTAATATGTTCAAATACCATTTTCAGTTGACAATGCTGTAGCACAAGTGGTAACAGTAGCAGTAATGATTGATAAAGAGAAGAATGAAGATATAGATATAGAAATGAAAGAAATTTTAACAGTATTTTTCTATACACAGATAAAAACAAAAACAAACTGAAAGATTTATAATTCAATTGTTATTGTATCAATTTCACATTGAATTTTATCAATCTTCTTTTTCATTTATACATTTCTGATTTTTATTTGATTTATCATCACATTGATTTATCTCTGTATGATGCTCAGACTCTCAGAAATTTGTGGTATTGAATGTTGAAATATCATTTTCTGTAAAAGAATGGAAACTAACTTTGCAACTCATACAGTATCTGCAAACTGCTCATACTTTACACATTGAAACATTGAATCAATTCATAATGAATGAATTGAAAATTTCCTCTGAAGAAAAGCAGAGTTCTGTAGTATCATTATATAAAAATAATCTAATAGTTGCAAAAACCTCTGAGCTATAAAATCATCTAAATCAAATAAAGTTTCATTATTAAACTGTTTCAGAGATATATCAGAGATCTCAGAAGAAGTGATAGAGAAGAATTTATTTTCAAAATAAGAATTAAATAAATCATTCATTTACTCATAATCAGAAAGATTTCCTCAACAGCTCTGATGAGATGATTGTAGCTCATTAAAGATAATAATTATTTAACAAATTAAAATTGAACTTTGCAATACTCTGTACAAACTCTTTATTAATCTGATTGAGATAGTAGCTGATCAAAAAATCATAATTTCATTACTCAATTTTGCAAATGCTGTTTTCATTCACTGCTTTAAACTCTGTTTTCTGTGCATCTATGAATTGTTCAATATGAGTCTTCTTCATCATATTCAGTATGTTTGCATATATAAAGAGCTTTTTTATTCATTCAAAATGAGTTCTGTAGAAGATCTGCTTGTACAGATTCTCATTTTTGAATAAATGAATATTATATCAAAATTGATAATAATGAAACTGAGATAGAAACTTTCATATAATATTTCATTTATAAAACAGATAGAATGCAATCTGTGATATTGAATAAAAAATATAATTTTTATATTATATAACAATTGAATATTCAAATCTGTTGTTCTGATTTGTCTTGTCATTATTCATGATTTCAATAAAAGGTCAGCAGAGTGTTGATTCTTTATTTAACAACTCAATTGTAAATAAATCAATCAACTGCATGTCTCATCTGAACTGCTTTCTCAGTAGCATATAATAATTCATGAGAAAATCAGCTGCTGTATAAAGAAAAGATTCAATTATATACTTTTCATCCCTTTATTATCTTTTTCAGCAGCCCCGGTGGCCGAATGGGTAATGCGGCCAACAGGTAGCGCCTTGGTGTGGGGACCCAAGGCGCGTGGGTTCGAAACCCACAAGGGGACAACATTGCATCCGGAGCCAACTTCTCAGCTCCTAAAATAAAGGGATGTGAACCTGCCAAGTAGGTACCTTCGGGCGGACCTACTACCTGATTTAGCTTATTGTTTCTGGGCTAGAAACCTGTATCGCGAGTACCAAATCCTGTCTTTCATTAATTTTCCTATGTTTCTGTTATATTCTTGGCGTCATTCCACACTAAACATTCCTCCTGTATAACCAACTCTTGTCTGTATTTAACATTACACAAGGACTCGTCATAAGCACTGCTTGCATACGAGTATAACGGAAGAATAATAATAATAATAACCTCTCTCAGCATTGATATAAAGTTCATCATATTCAATTTAATATAACCGTTCATCAAAGTGTCTCCATTTCTATCTATAAATTTTATACATCTTTGTATATACTTCATAAATCTGTAAGTCTTTAATATATCATTCAAAATCTGATCAATTAAAAGAGAATGAGAGTTCTTTTGTCTGCTTTACTGTGTATAATACAAATCAATAAAAGTTGTTCAATATTGTTTAATCAAATTCTTTTTTATTATTTGTACAATCTCTTCTTCTTCAGCATTTATATACTTTTTTTTATAATAATTTTTTCTGAATAAATGATTGAAAACTCTTTCATTAAAGAATCAGATTGTCTTTTGTTCAGAGACAATCTGATCATTTGAAAACTTCTTTTTATTACATTATTTTTATTGTATGAATAATGGAGATTGAGCAGCAGTGAGAAGTTAGTCTATTAAATTCTATTTCTTTTCATACACAGAAATAAAAAAGAAATAAAAATAAAATAAATTTATATATTATCATTCATTCATTCTGCTTTTTTATATATATTATCTGTGTATTCTTTAGTTTGCTTTATCTGCTGATTTTCAGTGCATTCTCTCTTTATACTGTTATTTTTATAATAAAATCATGCTGTAGCTGCTTCTGTGCAACAGCAGCTTCAACAGTAATATCAGCAACAAAGATCATTATTAATCTTTCTCACTTGTACAGAGATGTAAGAATTTCAAAGTAGATAAGCAAGAACAAAGATAATTAAAAATAGAAATCAATATAAAAGTAGAGGAGAGAATTCAGTGGTAGATCATTAATTGATGACTAGTTAGTGAGATGATAATTATTAAATACACATTCAGAAAGGGGCTGATACAGTCATTGTACATAATATTACAGAAAAGTTACCTCTTTTATATGGTCAAAGGAGGTAGCTCACCGTACGGAATATGTATGAGTTATTTGGGGGCCTTGGCTGAACACCATAGGAACACGTGTTCGAACACAGGCAAGTCCACCTTCATATAACCACTAGTTATAGTGAAGCAGTATCAACAAATCAGATTACATAGATTTTAGTATGAGAAATTATTGGTTGGTACTTCTAAGCTAACAGCTTAGTTATTACACTAATGGTATTGCGCTAATTGTTGCCTCGCCCCCGGACGAGGAGGTATATACTGCGAAGATAGATTCGCGTTTTCGTCTCCCGCCTGTGCTCGTATTCTTCTGTAGTACTGCCAAACTTGTTCCCTGGAACAATAGCATGCAGTTTTTGAATGCGAATAAGTGCAGACTTTCCTTGACAAACACCGCAACAGAAGTTGAGACGTTCAGTTGAACGTGGTTCCAACTCGACAGCCATGGCAGGGATGGGGTGGCAGGGTTCAGAGTTGAACAGGGCTCCATTTCTGACCTATGTTCGACATTTCGAATGGTTAAAAGTACACACAACTCTATAGTATATCCCTTTGCCCTGTGCTTCTAGGCACAAGTAACTCTATATATCAAACTCTAATCCTAATTCCAAACCGCCAATTCCATCGCTAATCCTGTGTTGGTAGATTAATTCTGCCCCATGTATGTACGTGGGCGTATTCAAACGGGTTGAAAATTATATCGACAAGCGTTGGACAGAAGTTCGAACAATTAGTTATTGACCATGCAATCTTGTGGGGACAATCCTTAAGATAACATACAACAATGCCACGGTTCAAAATCTCTTGACAAACATCCAATTCGTTATCGGCTTTTTTTGAACCGCGTTCAACTGTACCCTGCAAACGCCCAACCCCGATCTCCATCACCCCTTCGTCTTTGGTAGTAAGATGGCGGTTTGTATTCTAGATGGGGTGAGAATGGCATTGGCAAAGCTGAGCGCGGTGAGCACTTGAGTCAACGATCCTTGATTGAAAGGTTGAAGTTTCCAGAGTTCATCAAGAATCAATTCAGCGGGATGAGCGTGATGGATTAAGAATTTGTTCAGCCATTTCATGCCCGCTCAGACATGCTGAACCCTTTTTTTCCTTTTCCTGTTTCTTGTTCTTTTTTCTTTCCTTTTCCAATTTTCCAGCCAGCTGGGTGTCATCATGATGTCAGTTGGTGCGATTGCGCAGAGTTAAGTTCGCCACGTGGGACCATGAGGAGAATTGAACAGCCTTAACTGGTATGATCATGATGGCGACGGCACCCACGTCTGTGTATGTGTATCTATCTGTTCTTCAGCGCTTATGACGAGTACTTGTGGTTATTGAGAAGGCTAAGGACCGTAGGCAAAGCTACTAAAAAATAACCTAATACTAGTGTCGAGAACCCTTCACTTAGATGCGAGTTCTAGTATTCTTCTATTCTTCGACTTAACTGACGCTGGTTGGCATATTGCTTGGCATCGAATTGCAAGGTTCTAAAACACCTGAAGAGAGCACAGCGACTGAGCTGGAGTGATATATCTCTTATCCAGTCCTAACCACAGTAATGCTAAGTTAATTTTCCATCTTCTTCTCGCTACAACGAGGAATGTAGCAGTGCAGCGCCAAGCCCAACCGGTCCAGCGCCACTCCCGTTGATCCTCGGCAGAGCATAGAGGACGCAGTACATCTATCTATCCACACCAACCAGTCATACTGTGATAGTATCTGTGGTCCAGGGGTTGTGCGGGGGCAAAAGCTGCCAAACCTCAAGCGATCACGCCATCAAGCTAAGGCGAGAGTGCCCTCTTCCACTTAGGCTTTAATCTTCCTTCTCTCTATGGGCGATGGCGTTTCTTTGCAAACAAATGAGCCAATCGTCAGATTTAAGCTCGAAGTTTGCTGAGTTTATTTACCGTCCTCCGCCTCGTTGGAATATCTCTATAAACAACTGTCTCTGGGATGTCTTGTTTGATTCGTTCAAGCTGTGTGTTGGTGTGACTGTGTGTTCTTCCTAATCCATTTTTGATCCCGAGGGTAACTGCTGCTTGTTTGCCGGCATTTTCCCCGAAGTTTTATTGCTCTGAAGGTCCAAGTCCGCTCATCAGCTGTTTACGGAAACGATTCCTGTCTGTGGGGGAACTATTACGGCGGCCGCGTGCAAAGTGCTTTCTTGCGCTTGGAGCGGCTAAAAATACTTCGCCCGACTCTCTTGGGAGAGTTGTATGCCATGGCAACTCCCGACTTGGATTCAAACAGCATTACCGGGGATGTAGAAAAGAATAACAGCTTCGGGGCCTCTGTCAGGCCCCAGGGCCAGCCCGTCATTGTCGCGGATAAGCTGTCGCGCAAGCTATCGGCCCGCCAGGTGCAAATAATTGCGATCGGAGGTACCATTGGCACAGGGTTGTTTCTGGGAACGGGGAAGTCGCTGGCGACCGCTGGGCCAGCGTCTATGCTCATTGCATATGCGCTTGTGGGTGCCATCGTATTCGTCACGATGTTGTCGCTGGGCGAAATGGCGGCTTTTGTGCCTATTGCTGGATCGTTTTGCACTTATGCTGGGTAACTTTTCCCAGGAGTCCTTTTTCCCTATGATCCTGCGCGTTTGAACTTTCCCAACACCGACAATGCTGACAAAATAATGGGAATCTCAAGGCGATTCGTTGATGACGCTTTCGGTTTCGCCCTTACGTGGAACTACTGGTTTAATGATGCTGTGGCCACAGCAGCGGATCTTGTTGCGCTTCAGATTCTGTTGAAGTACTGGTCGGATAACTTTCCTGGCTGGGCGTTCAGCTTGATTTTCCTGTTCGTGCTTCTTGCGCTCAATATCGTCACTGTTCGAGCGTACGGAGAGGTAAGGCTGTCAGCTACCCTGATTAGTTTCCAAGTCTGTGCTAACGTGGGGTGAATAACCTGTAGATCGAATACTGGCTCAGCCTTTTGAAAGTTATCACCATTATCGTAAGTTCTCATCCAGCGAATAGTCCGCAACCATTGCTTTCTAACGATATCTCTCTACAGATATTCATTATACTTGGAGTCGTAGTTAACTGCGGCGGGAATGTCGATAGACAGTACATCGGTGGGAGGAATTGGCATATTGGTGACGCCCCCTTCGTTGGTGGAATAGGTGGATTTGCCTCCGTTTTCGTCACGGCTGCATTTGCTTAGTATGTGATATATATCAATGCCATTAATGACGCTCCAACCCCGCAACCGTCTACTGACATTTCAATCTCGACAGTGGTGGGACCGAATCTATTGCGGTAACTGCAGGCGAAACGAAAGATCCCTCCGTGACTCTCCCGAAGGTGGTGCGCAACGTCTTCTGGCGCATATTAATCTTCTATATACTGGGGGTGTTGATTATCGGCCTCAACGTCCCATACACATACCCCAACCTCTCCAACAGGGATACTCATACGAGCCCGTTTACTATCGTTTTCCAGCAGGCCGGCAGCAGGATAGCGGGTAGCTTCATCAACGCAGTGATCATGACGTCCGTTATCTCCGCTGGCAATCATGCTTTGTTTGCAGGATCTCGGATTATGTATGCACTGGCTGTGGATGGCCATGCTCCTGCCTTTTTGGGCAAATTGAATCGACATCGCGTCCCCTGGGTTGCAGTGCTTGCCACCTCTGTTATCAGTGGGCTCTGCTTTGGAGCTAGTTATATCGGGGCTGGACAGCTATGGTCCTGGCTGCAAAAGTAAGTGAAGCAACGCTCTTGACATAGCGTTTAAAGGATTAAATATTTAGAGGCCTGCTGCTAACTAACTCCATTTTTTCAGCATCGTTGGTGTTTCCAACCAACTGTCTTGGATGTCTATTGGCGTTGCCTCGATCCGCTTCCGTTCCGCAATCCAGCGGCAGAACTTGGAGCATCTTCTCCCCTTTAAAAACTGGACTTACCCGTATGGCCCGTACGCCTCTGTGATTCTCAACGGCTTCATCATCCTGGTGCAGGGCTGGTCTTCTTTCAGCCCCAAATTCAACGCCGTTAATTTCGTCAGCTTATACATCCAGCTACCAGTCATGTTGATAATTTTTATAACATGGAAGCTGGTCAAGGGGACGAAACTTGTTTCCCTGAAGGACATGGACCTGCTCACTGACCGGTACAACAATGGCGTCGAAGGAACTAGTGCGGGGGAGCTACAGAAGAGGAAGCGATTTAGAGACCAGTCCTTCCAAGAGAAAGCCAAGACGATTGGAATGTGGTTTGTATGAAATATTATCCCCATGTTTTTAAAACCTTTAATGGATGATTTTGATTTTACTCTCCGATGTTTGCTGAACCATTGTTGTTTTTATATATTTCCCCTTTGCATGCTCATTCTGCGCCGTCTACAATTTTTATTTTCGCATTTGGCAATGTTGCTTATATTTCAGGAGGAGGGCTAGTTTACGCCCTTTGCTGTTCGTTTATTTATGTTTACAATTGAAACTCTTTTGTTGCTAGTCGTTGCGCTGTTGAATCCTAGAACGCTTCCACGTTCAGGTTTCCCATTTTTCGAATTCTTTTCGTATGATTTTTAATGTTTTAAGGCGGTGTGATGGTTTTCTTTATCTTGATCTCGTCCTCGGATTCGGGACTTGGAACTTGATTACATTACTCCGTAATACTTCAGACTGCACGATTGAGATTTCGCATGCTGTTTGTGGCATCTGTACTTACCAGAAACTACGATTGCCACATTTATATACTTATATTACCTCTCTCTCGCTCTCTCAGAGTCTGAAGAAAAGGAGAGGCTGTTAAATAACCCACACCGATATTCACCTACCAGGCATTTCAAAGGTCTCAAAATGCGCTTCGAACGGAGATGAGAAATAACTAATTCAGACATTCAATAGAAGACCCAGTAGCATGGTTGCCCCACCGCACCTATATTGCTTTTGGCGGAAAAAAAGTCGCTGAAACTGTCAACGTTGTGCTCTCGATTTTTATGTATTTATATGCTGTACCACCAGCAGTGAGTGGTTGCTGGACGAGGTTGTCGGAAAGAGAAGAGAAAAAAGAGAGAAAAAGAGAACCAAAAAACCAGAAATCTTCCTTCCCCTTCCCTCACTCTCTGAGGGGAATGAGATGAGATGATGGCCCAACCAATGATTTATTTAACCTCATCTGGCAGGATATAGCGTATACACCAGCCCCTGACAAAGGGGGCGGCGCTTGAACGTAGGAGATTATGTGAGACCTGCAGGTCTTGGCTTATTAATCCTTCCACCATATAACTTCCCACTTAGCTAGCAATCTTCAATCAAGCAAGCTTTACACCTTCCACAGATTATCGATCGGGTTGTATCCGTATTCACAAGTTACTTTACAAAACCACACATGCGATTGTCAACTATATATATATTTGTTGTCTCCGGTTTCTTAGGAATGAGCCCGGGGTGACGCGCACTGAGACCGCCCAGCTCCAGGAGAGTCAAACTTAGGATATTCTGCAAAAAGTACTCCGTAGAGTACCAAATATCAAGGGCCAGCCACTCAATGGCATTTCTGTCTCTCCTTGGGATGGCACCCAAGCCCTTGCTGGCCCTGTTAACCCGTGCTGCCAGTTGAACACAGGACCTCCATGATACTAAAATCGTCACTGGGAAATGTTATTTGGAGGTTGCGACTGAATGCACGCCATCTGTTTGAATTTTTACGTTCAAGGTCCCCCTTTGAAGAAAAAAAAAAAAATCATCTTGCTCTTTCTTCTCGTGATTCTGCAGCAGGAATTCAAGGGAGGATCAACAACAGGGTGGAAAATAACAATATCGCTAGCCGTTTCCCTTGACAGAAGACGGAGGGGGAGGTCTCGCGGGATCTCCCCAATTTTGTTGCTCGCCTGCTCGAGCTGTAAGGGAGGCTTGACGACTTCGGACATTACATCCGCTAGTGACGGGCTGGACGTCGAAGGGCAAGAATTTAACCGAACAAAGAACGGCCCTCCGAATTGCCTCTGGAGGCTTGCTGGGAAGGATCTTGAAAGGGATATTGTGAGATCATGCTGCGGCAAATTTGCTTCTTGAGCAGCGGGGCTCTGTTTTTCGCATGCTCATTTCTTGGAAGTTCTCAGCTCAGCTCTTTAGCCAGACGAACAAGAACAACTTGTTCTTACGCTTCATCTCCGGTATTGGGTCCAGCCCCAATACCGGTGCCAAGGGAGGGAACATGCAACTACCGATCCGCAGGATGAGTACTATAAATCTACCTCCCTGGCACGATTCACGGGGTAGTCTAGGTTGGATGGAGCGCCCATTTCATGCCAGAGGAGTAAACCCAACTCTGGGCAAACTAAAAGGCGTCTATTCAGGGTAGCATGTAGGAATCAAAGGTCATCTCCAGGATCATCGTAAGAAAATAACAATCTATAAGCTTGATTGTATTTTAACTCAAGAGACACAAAGAAAAAGTAACTTTCACTCTCGAGAACAAGCATCTTTCAAAGGTAAGGGTGTGCTGGTGATTGTCGCCAGTCCCATTTGATGAATAAAACAAACGGGCATGGATAACCTGGTGGGCGAAATGAAAAGCTTCCCTGGCTAGGCTTGGAGGAGGTTTGGGCGAAAGCATGTGTACACAGTGGTAGTAATGAAATTTGACAAGTTAATAATAGTCACAGATTTCTGGGGGCCTATTAGCCGACTTAAAAATGCAAAAACTCCAAGTTACTTCAGGAAGAGAATGGGATGAAGTTAAGCTTCGCAGGGGTATTTTGGCAACTTTGATATCTCCGGCTAGTCGACAGTTTAATCCAACTCTAGGGAGAACGCTGCACAATTACTTTCTCGTTTTTCCATTTTTGTATACCACAACAACTCCCTACCCAAATTTCATAACACATAGAATATATGGGAGCAAAAGAGCCTGCAGAATCATGCCGAGACGGCCACTCTCCGAAGTTCCATCTCCATGTTGCTTCAGTTTTGCGCATACAACTTCGATGATGAACATGATGATGCCTTTTCAGCTGCCTAGAACAACCGGTGATAGCAGGGTTTAGGGGAGAAAGCATTGAGCGTCGGGGAATCGGAAAAAAGCTGAGGCGTTGATGGACCACAATTCGAGACGATTTCGGCCCTGGCAGGGGCAGCCAACGTTCACATTCCGAAAGCTATAGGTTCTCAGGCGCCGGGGTGTTTTGCGCGTACTGTGGTTGTTCTTTTCATATCCCAGAAAATGAAGTAGTAACGGTAGATGAACAGAGGGGCCGCCTCAGCCGCACGAACACCATCGAGGATATGGAGGAAGGGGTTGTGTTCCTGGAAACCGATAGACTGGAGAAACCAGGGGCGAAACGACTCCCACTATGGCCTCTCCAAGCTAGGGTGGTGTCTATGGCTCATAGGATGAATGCTTTGTGTATATCCATATATTGGGCCCTCGCGTAGGACGAGAAATAACGGAAGCATCGAATAGGTCTTGAGCTGCTTGCAAATCCATCCTGGCCTAGAGGTTCCCCCAAGCCAACAAATTCTCCATGCACAATTGGAGAATGCTAGAAGCATACTAAACAAAAGCAAGCCAATTGGCTATCGAGGACTTTTGGCACTCTCCTCAAAATCGGACGCAAAAGCTGCCGGAGATACTCGTCTCCCCATAATTCATCGTCTCGTCAATGATCTGAGAGTACTGCTGGAGAGATACATGCATCCGGTCATGGGAGGGAAACGTAATTCCAGCTGCCAGACGTTTGCCACAGCAATAATATAGTTAGTTATCAGAGACAATCAAGACTGGCTTGTGCGGGGGTTAGTGACGGGATCAAGCAATTCCATTTCTACAGAAAAACAAACGCTGCGTTCGAAAAACACTATTGGAAGGCTCTTATATTCAGCTCGTCCGTCCATGGAATTTTATGTGCGATTTATTGGACTACAGGAATTCGCCACGATCGTGTTGGAGTTGATCCAGGGGGCTGGCTGAAAAAAAAAGCCGATGCACAAGCACGGCCCCAACGGAGGAGAGATGTATTCGTCGATACTTTAGGGCCACTCCATTCCACGGATTTTTTGTTCCGGCTGCTTGACTCGAGAGCAGATCGTCCCTGGTTTGGTCTGGGATCGTGGCAAGCGCCTGGCTGAGAGGGGATGATGGTGTGGCTGAGGAGCGTCTCGGTGCCACCCAGCCTCGCAGTCTCTGGGCGATGGGGTCGATTGTTGATGGTTTTGGACATAGCATGAGCATATCAGCGTCAATTGACAATTCAACAATATGGCCCCCGGATACTAGTAGGCGACTGCGCATGTGAATCGTCTGGAATTGCAAGTCGACGGTGGGGCTAACCTCAAGAAGCTTATTAACATATCATTTAAGTTTCGAGGTTTTGAAAAGCGTTGTAACGACGAACCAGCTCATGGATATCAATTTACGAAATGAGGCGATCGAAGCGGTTGCACTGGGTGCCCGTGTGGCTTGCTTCGGCTGAGCCTATGTCATAGCCTTTATTTCTCAAGGGGCGCTTGGTAATTGAGGCTTGCACAATAAAGATCTCACTTGATGTTCCGCTGATTTTCCTCTGATTCTCCAAGAAGCCCCTTTCGCCGGTCCGAGCTCTTCGCTCAACAACAACAGTGTTATGAGCACTTATCCTCAAAGGCATATGTGGCCCATCTCCCATCGAGATTCCGTCATCTACCAATGTCGCAATGAATAATTTATTCTAGGGACCCTTCCTGGCATGGAGTTACTTAGTGGAAAGACATGCATCATATACGCAGGAGAAATTTCCGGGCGGAGAGATGGTCGTGTTGGTGGGGCATTTTGATATTCTGAAACGCACAGAGCTCTAAAAAAAATAAATAAATAAATAAATAAATAAATGAAAAAATAAAAGATTAAAAATAAGGGTGGTAACGGACTGAAAGTCGACGCACTTACTATTTTCTCCGAACTGAAGAATGCGAGGTATGACCCACAACCGTTTGGGTGGTGACATGTGGTAGGTTGGCGATTCGGAGAATCAACACTGACCAGGGCCCGGGGGGTTGTTTAATTTCTGATGAACCAGGCCGTCGATCGGCGAATTCCTGAAGAGGTAAGGAAACCTTTTTTTAGAGATGGGAATGCCTGTCATCAGGGCCCTTGGCAGTGTGTGAACCATCTGTAGCGTTGAGGGAGCCCCAGACCTGCACGAGCCAGGAATCCCAGGATAGAGAAATCTCCCGCGAATACGGCTTCCAAATTCCGCGCCCTCCATCAACGAGTTCACCGTTATGTTTGCCGTGTTTTGGAGTGGGAGCTTGCGATCGAGCTCCCCCTCCCTTTTCATCGTTTTCGTCGGTCACAGGGTTGGTAAGGGCAGCCTTCCAGCTCTGCATCGTCAAATATTTTTCGAAGCTGTGTTATATGCACTGGACAGTACTTGTGTTTCATGTGTTGTAGCTTTACGAAGTCACGTTAGCATCTCATCTTGTCGTTGCAACGATATCGGAGACACCTAACGATGCGCCGTCCAGCTGCGGACGTTGCATTGTTGCTATCGGAGGCAAAATGCTGCATCTCCTGCGTAAAACTTAGGGTACAGTACATGCCCGCCCAATGAGTGTCCACATTGCTGTTTCTGGCTCCATGGCTTTAACGATGCTCCTGGTTTGGGAGATCATCAAGTTTTGTTTCTTTTTGGGGTGTATCGCCAAACACCTCTGGGAGGTGCTGAGATGAATGATAATATATGTTCAGAATAAACCATCCCAGCGCAGCAGCGCTGGGGCCACATGAACTACTTACTGGCCATGACCCCACAAGAAGGATCTGACGCTGGTGATACAGTACACTCTTCAGATAGGCGACGATGAGCCATTCCATACAGGACAGTTGCCATTGCCAAATGGACAACGTCAACTTTCGTCTTGGTCTTCGGTTTTGACCGAGCTGGGCAATATGTTCGTTCCCTCCCGTGAAAACAGAAATGGCAGATATTTGATTTCGGATTGGCTTCAAAGCTCCCCAGTTACTCAGTTACTCAGCTCAATCCAGGCTCCGTAGCCTTCTTCAAATATTTGGCAAATATAGGCAAGTTTTCGAGGATTCGGTTTCGCTGAGACATTCCGCTTTCTCGGTACTTAATTAAATGTGCTCTTTCACCCATGTCAACAACCTCCGGCATGGAGTATTGGCTGCCAGAGCGTTCGTTATTGTCAATACATCTGTGATCAACTAGTTAATTCTAGATGTCAATGTTGGGATTACATTTGCGTGGTCATGGTAAATCCGAGACATTGCTTATATCCGATCTTATTATAAGTAAGGGCGCATCCCTAAATAATAATATATGCGCTGTGGTCTGCTCGGGAATAAAAGAATGGTTTCAGCCTCCGAAAAGGTGCGCATGGAAATTTGTGAGATCCTGGAGGAGAGGCCCTGGTACATATCTATCCAACCTTGATGATGATCGCATGGACGAACCGGGAGTTGACAATAGTAGGCATAATTAGCGAATAGCCTGGGTCCAGGAGTGACTCCGATTGCGCAAACCCTCATTCCCTGTTCCTTTTTCCCCGACATTACTCTCGCTGTTTTGCTCCTCCAAGATGGCCAGATATCAACCGAACATCCCCGAAATTTCGGCAGGCTGACTGATGAAAGAAACGGCAAACTTTGAAGGAAGCCCAGTCACTACAGCGTAAGTTGAACGGACCGTACAATAGGACTCCGTACACGCCCCTACGATCGACGACGTCCTGAGCATTGACCTCCTCATCGGCAGGGAGTTGATTTTGGCTTGATTCCGCTAGGGAAAACTTCCGGATCAACCGAGTCCACAATTTTACGAAAGGGGCACGCATGCTGCATGCATCGTGGTCTCCGTGCCTGTCTGCATATGCAATGAGCACAGCCAGTCTAGGGAAGCCAGCCACCATGACCTCCTCTCCACGTACGCACTTGGGAAGACCTATATTCTTTCTCGGCTAGTCGCTAGTACAGTGGGCTACAAACAGCTTGTCTCGAGGATAGACATCGCGACGATTGGAATATACTTTTCAGCCGGTAAACGCCCCGGGATATGTTTTGTCCAAAAAAAAAAAAAAAAAAAAAAAAAAAAAAAAAAAAAATTCAGGATATTAGCTCTCTTGAGAGGAGTCACCAGCTTACTGGTAGTTACGTCGATGCTGATGTGGTAGTTTTTTATTTTTCCATTTTTGCTTTTCTTCTTCTCGGGGTTTGCCGTCGATCCGTTCTGCACGATGATGGCGGCGGCTACATAAACATGGAAGCCATTGAATGAATTTGAGATCTACGCTGTAAAGTGTACCCACGACCCGTGCTTTTACCGGAACTTTTTGATGACCTTCTGCCATGAGTATTCTCGCCATTTTCAGGGCCCGGTCCGGGTTTACTTCCTCCACAAACAAAATTTATATCTACATCTCCGACGTTGGGCATGCTACATTTTTAAGGGTCTAAGGCAACTTCCGGACGGCTTGAACACCAGATCCCACCGGTGGCTACTGGTCAGTGCATATTATGGGAAGGTCGCAGAGGTTGTGGAAACGGCGAGTGTGTTAAAAAACTTATCCACCCTGCAGTTCGTCACCGCCTGGAAACGCCCCCCCTGGTATCATCAGCCAAAAACAAGCCACAACGATAATTTATCCGTTGTGGTTTTCTAGAAATTTTCCCGTTCATCGAACAAATTCTTTTGTAATTGTCATGGAGAAACTGTAATTAAATAACAAGAGAAATGCAATGTTGTACGGAGTATACTGCATGCGATTGCAAAATCTAGTAGGCGGGTGTTGGAAATACAGTAATCCATAAGTGAACGCTTTTTACAAGATTAACCACATACCAATTACGTCTCGTACATGCCCAGGAGCCCTTGTTTTTCCTTGGCGATGATTTCAAAAAAAGACCCAATGTCAGGAATCAGCGGGGATGCTGAGCTTGATACGGATGGCAGCGCCATATGATTTTGACGTGTTGCGGTAGCAAAATAATAGCAATGTTTTAGCTTTGCAAGGATGCTTTGCAAGCTATTCAATGCAAGACACCTGGATGGGATTAGTCTATATATAGAAGAAGCTGTTTCATGATAATGCTCAAGGAGTATAGCGGAGACCCTTAACATAATGGCGGGTTTTTGAAACAACGCAGCACAAGAGGAGAAAATATGAAGACAGGGCTGCTGGCGAGCCAGTTGCTACTAAGTAAAACTCTCGGAAGTTCACAGGATATCCCGATATCCCGTTGAAGCTTTGACAAGGAGTACTTCGCGAATAGCGATGTTCTACATACGGTCGCCAGGTACCACGTTCTTGACCCTAGCTTCCGCTTCTGGCGCCACAAGCCCTAATTGATCGTGCTCTGCTCGTGGACGGTGTTTCTCGTCCTTTTGACAATCATTGCAGTTTCGGCCAATTATCGCATCACGATGGCCCATTTGATTATATTCAATTGTGCAGGAGAATCCATTATTCTTCTCTTCTAGGCTGTATCACACAGATTTCCTGGCTCATGCTGCCTTGATCAGTTGCGCTCTTCTTTGTTTGGCTTGGGTGTCACTACTGACAGCTGCAACCTCGACCAAATCGTGGACCCATGCAAGCCACCTGGCTACGCTTCCATTCCCTGCTTGAAGTGGTAAACCTGCGTCGCTAGGCGTCAAAAGGACCAAAGCCCAAGATCCGCCCCAATCGAGTCTACCCAGCCAGAGGGGTTGGATGTCCGATTGACTACTAAAATATTCGTGGCTCCGCGTTCCTGTTCGACGAAAAAGAAAATAGCGGAAGTTCTGGATCTGCGAGATGCATTGTGATTGGGCTGTTCCTCTGTTATTTGTCCGCCGCTGATGTTATGCAAGGGTGATCGACGTGACAGCAGATCAGGAGAACCAAGCTGAGCACCTGGGTATCCAGGAGTAGAAGACTGTTGGTTTGTAGCCACTTGGTCAACACTTTTAGATCCGGCCGAGTCTGTGTTTGGCATGGAACGTGATTGTTAGAGGATGATCCACCTCGCGAGGTGCCCACTAGTACTTCGCCAGTAGCCCTCTAGCACGCCAATCTACCGCCTATCTTGTCTCATTCAACATACAAAATTA